AGAAATAAACTGGACATTTAAAAATCCTCTTATCTCCGATTAAGGTCTTCAAATAGTTCGGGAAATGTAAAGCGCGTTTTCATATTTGGCGCGGTTTCATATTTGGCGCAGTTTTCAAAATGGTTGGGAAAGCATCCAGTGACCTAACTGGTTCCTGTACTTTTGAGGTTTCCCGCCCTTTTGTGTGTGTGTGTGTAATTTTCTCACACAAACTAATGACGCAACAACCAATACCTGCTCGGTTAGTGGCCAAAGACTGAATCAATTACTATTTTTCATCGTCATATAAAGCCGACAATATATCGACCTTTTCCAATTCCGTCTTTTCGTATTGCAGAGTTATCTTGGGATAATTTTTTGAGAAAACGACGTAATTTTCTCACACAAACTAATGACGCAACAACCAATACCTGCTCACAAGAGCAGAAAACGCTGCAATACGAAAAGACGGAATAGTACTAAACTGTTACAAACGATTTATACCCCAGCTACACCCCTGACGTGTATTACCGCTCACTATTCTTGAAAATATGTACAAGTATGTGTGTGATAGGTGGACAGTCAAGGTCAATATATCCATGAAATAGAAAGACCCCACACTTGTGTTTTCTAACGTATCAGAAATCACTAATTTATTTCGCGGACGTATATATTGACTCGTGAATATATCCGTCCGAGGAATAAACTCGTGCTTTCTGATACGTTAGAAACATATATAAAACACATTGAACATGTCTGAGGAATGCGTTTAAACAGCGACGTGGTCATGCATGTATAATTAGAGCCAAAACGTAAATATGTCACCTTTACATTGTAATCCCAGGGTGGAAAAATTACCCGAGTCATTTATTTATGATTGAAAATGTACCCGGGTCATGTTTCCACGATAGAAAACATACCCGGGTCATGTGTACACGATAGAAAACATACACGGGTCATGTTTACACGATACAAAACATACCCGAGTCATGTTTCCACGATAAAAAACATACTCGGGTCATGTTTCCACGATAGAAAGCATACCCGGGTCATGTTTACACGATAGAAAACATCCCCGGGTCATTTTCCACGATAGAAAAAATACCCGAGTAATTGTTTTCATGGTTGAAAAAAAGAACTCAGTCAATAATTCTGTGGAAGAAAAAACTCCGGAGTCGTTTTTTAAGGTAATATACCTCGGTCATTCTTTCATGGTAGAAAAAAATACCCGGGTAAGATATACACTGTGGTAAATTTGTGTAAAAATGCTTCATTTGTTTCATTTCTTATTGAGAAACATAAGTACGTCATCTTAGCTCAGGGTTAGTGTTGCATATATCTACTGGGTACTACAGGAATAGACGATTCCGCCGGGGAGCATGTTTCCACGATAGAAAAAATAACCGGGTCATGTTTACACGATACAAAACATACCCGAGTCATGTTTCCACGATAGAAAACATTCCCGGGTCATGTTTACACGATACAAAACATACCCGAGTCATGTTTCCACGATAAAAAACATACTCGGGTCATGTTTCCACGATAGAAAGCATACCCGGGTCATGTTTACACGATAGAAAACATACACGGGTCATGTTTACACGATACAAAACATACCCGAGTCATGTTTCCACGATAGAAAACATACCCGGGTCATGTTTACACGATAGAAAACATACCCGGTTCATGTTTACACGATAGAAAACATACCGGGGTCATGTTTCCACGATAGAAAACATACCTGGGTCATGTTTCCACGATAGAAAGCATACCCGGGTCATGTTTCCACGATAGAAAACATGGGGGGGTCATGTTTACACGATAGAAAGCATACCCGGGTCATGTTTCCACGATAGAAAGCATACCCGGGTCATGTTTCCACGATAGAAAACATACCCGGGTCATGTTTCCACGATAGAAAAAATTCCCGAGTAATTGTTTTCATGGTTGAAAAAAAGAACTCAGTCAATAATTCTGTGGAAGAAAAAACTCCGGAGTCGTTTTTTAAGGTAATATACCTCGGTCATTCTTTCATGGTAGAAAAAAATACCCGGGTAAGATATACACTGTGGTAAATTTGTGTAAAAATGCTTCATTTGTTTCATTTCTTATTGAGAAACATAAGTACGTCATCTTAGCTCAGGGTTAGTGTTGCATATATCTACTGGGTACTACAGGAAAAGACGATTCCGCCGGGGAGCATATCTAAATTCGACCGTTAAATTCAGTTAACAGCATGCTTCAGTCACATTCGCGCCGGCCGCCGGCCGAGAAGTAGGAATCGGCCAGCTTCCCGGACTTTTCCCCGTTGTCTGGGATTTGCCGTGAGTATGGCTACAAACGGGCACCGCACGGTGGCCGACCTGTCGTTAGTCTCGTTCAACCAGACTCTTTTTGCCTGCGCAAGCTACGTCGAATAGAGAGTCTGGTCAAACACAGTGCTTTCGTTTTGTGACATCATAACGAGGCTTACCGAGATTCTGGTAATTTTTTTCATTGGTCAAAGGTTGACACACCCTTTTTAACTTTTGAAGTCAGAATTTGAGTGGCCAAAAATTACATTGAATATTTTAATTCATTAAAAAAATTACCTGTTTTCACTATTAACGAGAAAAATGTAAGAAAATGCTTCAAAAAGAATGATTTCATGTATTTTCATTGGATATTTTACAATAATTCATGAAGCTAACAAGGCTATTGATACAAGTCAAGTCAGATTACCTGAGTGAGAACTTGAAGGTGTTTTGAATGGTGTACAGGTAAAATCTCACTTGCTTTGCATGCTTTTTTCAAACTTCAGTCAGCCTTGTTGGCTTTGTGCTTAGTTATGATTCATTCAATGGAAATATATGGCATTATTCTGGAGATTTGACACATTTTCTTACATTGTTCTCGATAAAAGTGAATACACGGGTACTTCAGGAATGCATGTATAGGTAACTTTTTTCATTATTTTCATTATTCATTGAAATGTTTAATGGCGTTGACAAAACGTCCGGAAACGAAAGTCGAAATACTGCCCTCTGGTGGTGATATTGTTAATGCACTGTGTTTGACCACGGACTTAGATAACAATCTAATCTAATTCGTGGTTTGACCAGACTCTTGAGTTACAAGTGATCAAGCGTCTGGTTGAACGAGACTAACCTGTCGTACGATAACCGGAAGATGTTCGTGTGACGGGCGGGATGTACGTAGCCCGTACGGTATTTCGCATTTTATATGGCGTGTATTTATAGGGAAGCACACAAGTCAACACCTAGCTCGTCCGTGAGAAAATGGCGCCTGCAGATGCCCGTATGTGTGCCATCCGGGCGCTGGAAGCAAAGGCTGGTGCCCGTCCGGTTATCGGGCGGGTGCCCGCCGAATATCCCACGGATACTACACAGTTTGAGGACCTCGGGCGGCTACCTTACGATTGCCGTACGGCACCCGCCCGGAAATCGGGCGGTCAACACGACACCTGGGAGCATGTAAAATTAAATAAAATCCCAAGATGACCGTATCATGCAACCGGGAGCCGTAAAATATTCTCACGAAATTCTTGCGGGACACTTACGGAGCTGCCGGGTATATACGTAGGTTACGATGAGTTTGGGTAAGAAAAAATCGAGCGGACACCGGCAACCTTTATCTCCATGCTAAAAGCTACCGGCAACCTTTATCTCCGTGCTAAAAGCTACCGGCAACCTTTATCTCCGTGCTAAAAGCTACCGGCAACCTTTATCTCCGTGCTAAAAGCTCCCGGCAACCTTTATCTCCGTGCTAAAAGCTACCGGCAACCTTTATCTCCGTGCTAAAAGCTACCGGCAACCTTTATATCCGTGCTAAAAGCTACCGGCGACCCATGCGTCGTCTAAAGATCGGCTGATAGTGGCCGATAATCTTCCGGTGTCCTTATACGGTTCCCCGGCTTGCGAGCCGATTTTGGCCAAACAAACTTATCGCCCGGGCGCCTTTTCGGAAATCAGCGCAAATGTGATTGAGGTTTTAAGGGCCTGTCTCATCTAGCCTATTTGGGTCGCCGGAGCTTTACCGGAGCTATACCGGAGCACTTTGGCGATTTTCGGGGGTAAGTGATTTAGACAAGGAAGTTATCAGTGCTACATTTTTTTTATTTTTTTTTTCAATTTAAAAAAGTTCCACCATTCACCCGACGGTATACAGATTAACTTCAATCTGAACCGGCTCGTTAAATAAATTAAAACACGAGGCTAGGAACAAAATAAAAGGCAAATATTGTCACTTAAAAACTAAGAACAATATACATATCTAAACGCATTCACATCTTACTGACATGGTTTTTTCTTTCTTTCTAATTTAACATTTCATCAAACACTACATGATTATTTTCTTTAAGAAGTTATAAAGAACATTATGTTCATCGAAAAAAAATACTGTCGCTGTGCTATGTAAAAGCAATCCGTAGAAATTTGCCCCGGAATACGGGTCAATTCTCAACAGGTATCAGTGACTTTACTTTTCTACGGGTAATATGGTAGGATTTCTAAGTAGGTTTTAGACCCCGGGTAGGATTTCTAAGTAGGTTTGTCGGGTCACCTTTTCACGTTACTTATCGCTACAAACCTACTCATACTTTCGGTAAAAATGACACCCCCACACCCCTAAAACATGTAAAATTACTCTGAACACCTTTAGTTTAGGTACACATATAGCTGTAACAAATTATCAGGTCCCTGTGCTCATATCGTACTTAGTGCAGTTTGAAATTCTCCCTACTTCTAAATGGGACCCTCTTGCGTGTATGCTCTAAATGTAAAACTATTTCTTTGTATTCGAATTCAAATGTGTACACAATTATCTCATTATATTTATACAATGCATCAGACTTGTTGTCGGTCGATCGCGTGGTACGTACGCCTGGCACTTGAAAGGCCCGGACAATGCGCTATTTCGGTTGTAGAATTTTTTATTTTTTTATTACCGGCTTTCAATTACCGGCTTTCACAAAAGAAAAACTTACCACACTGGACGTTGTCTTCAGCTCATGTCTTTTGTCAAGAACGTACACGTTTCGTTAGGAGGTATATATGTTCAGTATCTAATCGATTTTAGGTGTGTTATTTGACTAAATAGCCACTTTAACGTGAACGTAGGTGTAGAACCCTATAGTACACATGAATCGACAAAGTACGAATATTAGAATACTAATCTCAGCACATGGACCTACATATTGACATTTTCGTTCCAAGTAACCCGATCAGAGTAACTGTAGTTACTCTCATCCGACATGGCGAAGGACATAAACGGTGAGTTTTGACAGCTGTCTATTAGCGTATTTCTAAGCATAATATCGACATTGTGATATAACGCATCGAAACCTCTATCGATGTGAACATAATTTGATGTTGTATGTTTGGAATGATTTGTGAATTTAAGCTGGTATTGACATCGTTAATTTTGGCATGATATAGGTAACTGGAATGCGATGATATAGGTACATGTAACTGACTCGGCAATTTTGACAGAGATATGGGTATCTGCGCCATAATCGATCGTTTTTGAAGCCGTAAAACGGCAAGTAAATGATTTCACTTGTGCAAAAAACATGGCACAACCTACCCAGCTTTCCTGCTTGCTTTTTTTTTTTTATATAAAATGTACATTGTACTTAATTAGTTATTACCTCAGTGTGACCAGATTCCATTACAGCACTGCTGGTGTGCGCGTATGTAAATGTATCTGAAAAAAGTGGAATGTAAAACGAGTAGGATGTGTATACAGCCTTCAGATCAGTCTCAGTCGTTCGTGTAATGTTGATATTGGGACGAGCCCTCGGGACACGACGTACACACCCTGTGACTGTCCAGAAATTACCTTGTTTCAATTTATATGTGTGTTTTTTTCTAAATTAAGCAACAGTCTGCAGAACAGTTACCCTGATTTCCCAGTAGCAGATACCCATATCATCACGATATTGACATTTGCTGTTACCGATATCCCACGTTGCTTTCGATGCTCGGTATCTACTTCCCAAATACTCTTAACAACAAGTACACGCTTCAAAAACGCATAAATTATATGTTTCTTGTGGTGTCATGATCAGTTGATACATGTCACACATATGCCCGCCCGTTAAATATGCAAACTCGGAGCCGTTAAAACTCACCGTTCGTTCGTTCCGCCATGTCGGATCCCCCTGCAAGTGAAGTGGGATGTAAATATACATTTACGTGATATCACTGAGCTATTCTGGCGGAGGGAAGGAATCTGATAACCGTTATGAGATAATTATTTTTGCAAGATATTGTTAGATAACCCCCTGTTTTTATGTTAAACCAGAGATGCAAACACATCTGCCTCGTAGGGACAAACGTCGTATGTATATATAGCCTATTGTGTTCACATAGCCGAACAGTTATCGAATAGAAAATGATAAAATGCTGAAGGGTATAAGTACTGAACGATACCCCGAGATGACCCTGACCACCGTCAGCTAGACAAAACACGCAACCAACCAAACAGAGATGTTATCCGCCATGGCTATGGTATTCATGGTCTTACCCCTGTTTGGAGACGCACATTAACCGGCTATCACGGGAGCTAGCAGTGTCTGTATTACTATACGTAAGTATGTGACATGTATATTATAATACCATGCAGCTCATGATGTGTTAGAGAAAATGTACAATAAGTTCAACTCAAACTTCTTCCGGTAATGAGTCGATCTCCTAATACTAGTATCTTTGGGGTGCGGGTGTGAGGATGTGGGGTTTGGGCGGGTTTTTTTTTTTTATACATGTACCTATTTAAGGCATTTTCATTTTCATTTCATCTCAGCGAGAGAGAGAGAGAGAGAGAGAGAGAGAGAGAGAGAGAGAGNCTTCGTACGCTCGTAAAATACATGTTGGAAGAGGTTACTTGTGTAACTGTATTTGTTACAGCTATATTTGGATCTAAACTAAAGGTACAAACCAGTGGCTTGTTATACATTACTGTGTGCTTTTATATAGGAGGAATTTAAAATTAAAGATACATGTCATTAGTATTCGTTTATTTTTTAATTTTAAATCATGTACCAACCGAAAAGAATACATGCATTTATAACATCAATGCGCCAGATATTACATAATTACATCACAGGTACATGCCTCGTACTTGCCTCGTCTGTCAATACACCTATACCATATTTGATGAATAGATGTTACTGTGGAGTGTAGTTGCTAAGGAAATCCGCCATCTTGGATCCAAGATGGCGCCTTAGCAACCACATGAACCTACGGCTCCACAGTAACATCACTTCATCATGTGGGTTTTTCTGCGTGTGACGTCATCAATTTTAGTGTTAACGACTGAGTGGGTTTTTCTGCGTGTGACGTCATCAATTTTAGTGTTAACGACTGAATTATCTCCCCTGGATATCTATATTAAATACTTCCCTTCTGGGTTTGAGGTATCTACGGTAATAGGACTACACTCGGCCGCTGGACCNCATATTATAGGTGTATTGATAGACGAGGCAAGTACCTGTGATTACATAACTACCACGTGCCGTGCATGATCTAGTATCATAAATAATTACGTACCATATATACTAACCAGCATGAATGTACCCCAGGATATCGAGCAACCCTAAATGCTGAACGCTAAACAGGGAGTGATAACTACGTTCATATTTCAAGTCTGGGGTCAGACCCATTCCTTTCAGTACTTCTGTGAACGTTGCCAATAAAGGCGCTAGGAAATTAAAAGGTTGATATACATGTATGTACATGTACACATCCGAGCTCAATGGCTCTAGTTTTCTTCTATTTACCTGACCAAATATTACACCTTCTGTATATTTGTGCTATATACTTATGAATATAATAAATGTATGCTTTCTCAACTGGAAAGGACACTAACGCCGATACATGTTCCTAATCAAATTATTCATTTAGTACAATAAAATTGATTTGAATTGAAATGTAAACATACCAGTCATACGGACTATGTGCCACATTCGGATGTACATGTACGTGCGAACGCCCACATATTTCACAACAATAACCAAGTGTTGCATTATGAGACAAAGGCAATGTAAACCAATTATATACTGTTTCATAAAAGGTGCCCTTTTCACTTTAATTGAGATGTATTTGGGTATCGTACACCACATTATAATTTCACACCGCTTTTGTTATACAATCTGTTTAAGGTCAAATTCAACTATTAATGTATTATCTTCTAAACTTCAAAATAAACATGATATGTGTTTAAAAAGAAAAAAGAAAGAAAAAAATTATGACATATTACTGATATTTTCTTTTTATTATCCACTTTGCAGTCTAATTAGCTTTAAAATATTAGATACTACATGGATTACATTTTATCAACACAATGTATCTTGTGTTTAAGACATGTAAGTTTCACAGGTCAATTCACCTGTTGGAACTCGAACACTTTAAAGAAAAAGACTAAGTTGCTACCAAAAAAACCCTGGTCAAATCGCTAGACATTTATCTTATACAAAGAGTTAGCCTCAGGATGTTTGTTCTTGAACGACGATCAGAAAACGATATCAACCATGCATGTCTAGATTTCAACTTGCAACCTTAATGCAGCTTGATATAGGAAACTTGTTTGTTTGGGGAACTTGGAGAGACCGTAACATACGCTCTAGTATCAAGTATCTGGTAAGGCAAATATTTTTGAGACATTTTATTTTAAACGGAGGTTAACTTTGTAAGATGACCACTTTGAGATTTGCAGAGTCATCGGGTGACAGTTTTTCCAATATACTAATCGATTAGTCACAGGCAAAAACCTTTACAAGACAAGAATGTCTAAAAATGCATTTTAGACATTTATATATACTGTATCACACATAGGATGTAATGCATATTCAGGTCAATAATGTATGATAAGAAACAGATAACTTGGATATTTTATAACATGTACACAGAGATATATCATAAGAATATCAGAAACTTTACCGGTTTGGTTTTATGTTGTTTAAAGTCCTATTAAGAGTTATGATCATTTAAGGACACGCCTCCATGTGTGTACATGTAATGTACAATGTATCGGTGTGTCTGTATGTTTTGATGTATTTGCGTCCTTGAGAAAGCGCAGATCGGATGCCAACTTTAGAGTGTTACCTCGCTGAAATACCATGCCGAAGGAACCCAACACAGTATTCCATCCGGTCACATGTTGCAGTACATTAAGCAGGGAATAACAGCTATCGTTTTTAATGACTTTGGTATGCCCCGGTCAGGGAACTGAACCCTTTACTTAAATCACTTGGGCCAACGCAATAGAAAATCATTATAAGGGATGGGTAAGTGAGTTGCGTCTCCAATAAATATCAGTCAAATGATTCTTGTATAACCCTGAATTCAGCTGACAGACCTTAGTCCTTGGTAGACATGGTCTACTGTTCAATTTTCCTTTTTGCGCCTTAGATCCTCATCCAGGATATCCGAGGTATGCTTACAATCGTCATATATCATCACATAATGAGAGGCGTCATCAGCAAACGTTTGACACTGGTGTCGATATCATCTTCACGATTTATAATATAAATCAAAATATACATGATGCCAGAGAACGGGTCCGCGGGGTACTCCAGCGTTCACTGTTTGCTAGATGTAACAATATTTTGCTACCATTTGTTGTCGATCAGTTAGATAACACTAAATCCAGTTAAACATAATCTCCACGAGTTCTATACGTTTTTCGATTTGTTAATTAATTAACCAACTCTGCCAAACCCTGTCAAACGCTTTGCTCATCACATAAATTACTGTCCTAGCTTCTCTACCCTTATCGAACTATGAGCTTATTAGCAGTAGGGACTTTGGCAGGGATGCGAAACAAATTACATTAACATTAACAATAACATTAGTCTCCGAAAGAAAATTAAAGAGCTATTTAAAATCCCTTTTTTGCAAATGATGTAATAAAAATTGGTCTATATTTGACAGGGTCACCTCTTCCTCCTTTAGGCCGATATATTGGGGTTATATCGGCTACGTAACAAACATTAGGTATGCTTCCAGTAGATATTGATTTGTTAAAATGACGGTAAAATATTAACAAAGGAGTCGGCTGTTTATTGCCAACAATAAAATAACTTGTCGCATTCAAAAGCAGATTGTTTGTCCTAAATTTTATCTATTGATATTCCGTCTTTGCGTATTGCAGAGTTATCTTCTCTTTGGAGAAGGTATTGATTGTTACGTCATTGGTTTGTGTGAGAAAATTGCGTCGTTTTCTCAAAAATTGATGATGTTACTCTCACAAACATGTGACGTAACAATCAATACCTGCTCCCAAGAGAAGATACCTCTGCAATACGCAAAGATGGAATATGCTCAAAGTTGTACCACATTTTTATAACGAAGGAAGAAAAAAATGAGTTCTTTTGAATACATATTTTGCCCCATTCCTCCCCTTCTTGACCTTTGCTCATTATTGTATTCATACAAAATATACATTGTTGCAAGTTATGACGTCACGATGTTTCACAGCGGCCGAAGGTTGTATATTGTTTGATACCAACCCTGAAAATAGTTTTAACAATAACGCTTGAAATAGGGCAAATTTGCCACAGGATTTTAATTTTCACTCTCGTCGGTGCTTTAGTTCATGATCGCTGCGAAGATCGAATGTCAAGTTCACGACGAGGAGGGTATATTTGTAGAGTTATAAAAACCTTGATGAAATAGGAGACGTATAGGCCTTATACAGTATATGTACTGTACTACGTCTGTGAAATAAGTCCTTATACGGATACAAAGGGCTTACGGTCTACTGAACCTGTTTTAAAGGTTTGTAATATATAAGACGTCTGGCACTGAAGAATTTTTAAATTGACATGGACTTCAACACACGAAGTGTATACACACACACTCTAATGTGACCACTATATTGACATTGAACTAATGGATAAACATCATTTACGGAAAACCAGTTTTGAATAAACTGGTTTGGTGGCTGTTTGTGTAGACAAATATGGGAAAGGAGGGTACACATGTACACTTGTTATCGAACAAACAACACACTACACATACCACCGTGCTCAGCCATGAACACGGATCATCCACGTTTTGGTAGAGTATACATTTTACCAGTGGACAAACTCTTTTTATATTTAAAAATACGGTCATTTTTAATATAGCGGAAAGCGCAACTTACGTACGACCCATCGCATTTGTTTTTAAGTAAAACATTATAATAAGTAGAGTGCACTATAAGACATTATACTTATCATGAACCCATAAAATATTTCGTCATAGCGCCGACATGGTAGAATATCAATAGCCAATCGAACATATTGATATTTTGTAAGAAATGAATAAATAATGTTGCTAAGGAAATCCGCCATCTTGGATCCAAGTCGGCGCCTTAGCACCTCAACCCCCTTAACCTACGGCCCCAGATCTACATCTATTCATCATGTGGGTTTTTTTCGTGTGATGTCATCAATTTTAGTGTTACCGACCGAATTATCTCCCCTGTTTCCAATAGTTGTGTATATTTAGTGTGACGTCATTTTGACGGAATTAACTCCCCTTGTTTCTGACTATTTACTTTCTGATTTCAGGTTTTGCATCCATGGACTGTCTCTCTCTCTGCAATGCTTGACAGACCTGTTGTTTTTTCTCTCTTTTCTTTTCTTTTCTGCTCTTTTTCCTGCTCTTTTCTGTTCTTTAGTCATATATTTTCATTTTCCTTGATAATCTTACACATAAAACATATTTACAAACAATAAATAGTTACAACGTGCGTTATTTACAATTTGAAATTCACGGCATATAAATTGAGATGAACTCTTTTTTTTCGTGTAGGAAGTGTGGTTGTTCTTTTCTTCTGGTTGCTAGTTTGCAAACATGTCGACGTGAAAATGAGGGGCTCTGTTCTCCACAATACGAAACCCTTTCAAGGGCACGCCGATATGGTTTCTTTTACAATATAATAAAATTCTTTATCTACAATATAATATAATTCTTTATTTACAAGTTGTTGCTTAAATAAGCTAGCGTTTAAAAAAAAATATGAATGCCTTTTCTCAAATAAAAAATAATGTTGATCTTCCTCGCTCATCAATGCTAACAGGTAATGCTGTTGCATGGTTTGAACTGACATATGGACATAGATGGAGGGACTGACATGGACATAGATGGAAGGACT